TGTAGAAGTAAGGATGAAGTACTTTCCTAATGCCTCTAAGAAGAGTTGGTGTGTAAGCCACGTTCAGAAATCCAGCTTCACATTTCTTGATTTTTCATGTTTCCTTATACGATCTTTGCTTTTCTGAATCTGTTTTTTCTTACCTCTCCTGAAGTCATGCCCTTACTGCCTTTACTCCATTTGTCATCTGCGGGTGTTCTCCTCCCACAACCACTCAAGCGTAAGGAGGCTCTCAATGACTTTTCCAAATCTTGAAAGAGAAGAAAGGGGCTTTGATCACTGCTTTCAGTTCATCATATCTTGCTCTGCAGTTCTTTGCAGTCAGGCAAAGTACAGACATCTGCAGAGCAGGCAATGAGAGAGGATATGGATTAATGCAGGAATTTACTTGTGCTGGGGGCTGGACAGGCAGGAGCGGGTCAGTCTGCGTTCACTGTGCTGTGCAAGCCATGACACAATTCGGCTAATGGACACTGAAAGAAAATGTCGCAGAGACTGTCTCTGGACACAGCTTTGCCTTGTACTGGCTTTAAATATGAAAGAATAATTGCAACATGGACAACTGCATGTTTAGCAAAACCTAGTAAATATATTAACCCAGATCTTCTGAGGAAGTTTAAGTCACTAATACCAACCCTGACTCTGGCCTTTTCTATAGAGCAGACACATTTCACATACTGTGAACACATATCATTGTCCTTCGTTATCAGAGGATGCAGAATATGAGGAATGGCCTAAACAAATCCCAAGTAAGCAGACATGGCTCAGTCTTAGCTGTAACAGGCCAGTGGCATTGGGCATGAGTCTGGTCCAGTGTATTGGATGACCAAGCTACGTGTTCCAAAATGCTCCATTTTCTAAAAACACGATGGGCATTGCAAACAAAATGAACGATCATATTTTCTAAACAGCAAAGAATATAACTAAGCAGGTTGATTAGATAGCGCAAAGACCAGATAAAAGGTTATGTGGATAAGAAATACGTAGTGACTAGGAAGAGACATATTTAAAGATTAATTCATTTGTGCACATGAGGCCACACTACATTTTCATCTCTTTACCTTCCATTCATACCTTTAAAGCAATTGTGCCTTTTCTTACTCTCTTATCTATCAGACATTTGCACCTGAAATCTGAATGCCTGGTTTGGACAGTTATATAGTAGCTACTGCAAGTTTTTTCAGAGCTCTTTTATGCTTTATTTTTTTTTAAGTCACATTTTCTGTCCAGATAGCTGTTGACAGCTCTCTCTCCTAGGAATTTCCATCATTTTTCAGAAGGGGAAAAGAAGGTATTTCTTGTTCTTGTGCTTAATACATAAAATGGGCTAATTTATAAGCCTTATGATAAATCATACTTAAAGGAACAAGATCATGTGTTTTGAGCTTTGAGTTTGGTCTTGGCAGGTTTGCATATGCTAAGATATTCCTTTAGTGGTCAGGAAGTCACTCATCTACACCAGGCTTGTAGTGAAAAATTATTTAGCAAGCCAAATAGAAATTTCTTATCACATCTCACAGATTTTAATTGTTAAAGATATTTGGTGGAAGTCACTAGTGTGCCATAGACAGAACTAATAAGACTTCAGAGATGAGTGGTACATAAGAACCTTGCTGCGTGGTGGCCAGATGTGCTCCATTATCTATCTATCTAATCTATCTATTTGAAGTTAGTTATATCTGTGTTTTTCATCGGCGTAATAAATACATTAATATGTCACCCTATTTTATATTAAGAAACCAAAAAGGCCATATAGAAAAACAATATAGCAAGATTTTATATCACCTTCAGATTTTTGTTACAATTTGCACTAGTAGTCTGTAGCTAATTATATGAACTTGATTTCCCACCTCAAGCACAGCTTCTAGATGATACATTTAAGCTGTGTAATTAGTGGTTTAGATAATAAATTGGTTGTCTATCAGTCTGTTTTGTTTGTTATTGCTAATGAAATTATTATAACGCTGGGCTTAGCGTATAGGAACTCTGTTATTTTACCTTGCATTTTAAAAGCTATTCTCTATTTGTGTTGCATACCAGATGTCACACTAATTATTATCTGCAGACGGGAATGCCAGCTCTGTTCTAAATGTAAAGCTTTTATAAAAGCATTATGCATTAAATGGTGCAAACTACTGTTATGCTCCAGTATGTTAATACTTTGAAATCGCCTCTTGTTTTCTTAGGAACTCCTTGTAACTATGATTGTGAAAGTGAAAACTGTGAAATTTTCAGAATTAATCAGATGTGGAGATCAAATGCTACCTTCATTTCTACTTAGCCCAGCTCATTGAAATTGGTTTTTATTATGTAGGTGTGGCTTTTTCACTTTCATTTGCTCTCTGAGATACCTATATACAAATCTGGATAAAAAAAAAAATAATAATTCTGGTAAATCTTCAAACTTGGAGCAGATTTTTTTCTTCTAAAAATAAGCCAAATTTGGCCCACACTCTTCAGTTTAAGTAGGAATACCTTCAGCACATGGAGTTTTATACATGTATTTTCATCCTTTTAAAAGCCAAAATTTTTCAAACTCTCAGCCTCTGTTAGCACTTGTAACTGATCTTTTCAATCAGTAAGAGACTTGGGGCTCTTCTCACTGCAGCTGAGGAAGAGAAAGAAGAATGGACCATGGATAGTTTTGTGGATTATGCCTGTTATTTCACAATTAGCTCATCTATTCAGTTCTGCTGCTACCATTGTTTTTTTTACTGCAGGGAGACTTTGGATGAAAGGCAAAATGAGAGGAAATAGGCTCTCTGGCGTGTTCTGGGGAATCCCTGCTGAACCGTATTAATAAGAAGAGTTTCCGTAGAACGTAGGGCAGCAAGATACAGTGATTTGGCTTTAGCGATCTATTCGAACCACTTTCTCCTTTTCAATTTCTTCTAAATCAATACAGAGCAATTAAAGCAATAAATTTCAGTGCTTTGAAGAGCAATACATTTCAGTGCCATGATTCTGCATATGCGAGGCAAGTAAAGAGAAAAATCAAAACTGCTAACATTTGTAAAGGAGCCTTTAATCTTATTTCATTAAAGCAAAATTTGTATGCCACTTGCTCAGAGAAGACTTCAGGAGCAAGATAGCTTGGTAGGCCATTCCTGCATAGGTGTTTTTAAGAAACCAGAGTAATGGACTTCACTAGTAGCACAGCTAATTATCTAGGAATGAAATGGAAGAAGCAGCCAGTTTGCCCAGTGAATGTATGGGGGATGTGGGAAAGACATACCTGCATACGTGCTTTTGTAGAGCTCAAAACCAGGCTGGGACACATAGTCTCAGAAGATTCATACCATGCTTTTTTCATTTGGACACTCAGTAAGGTCCCAAATCAAACTATTACTTAGTCAAACTATTACTTATTGTTGGGATTTTGGGGAGGAAGAACACAAAAGCAGTAGCATGCATGGATTATGCCTTTTCAGATGTTCGTTTTTATGTAACAGGTAAAACTGGCAAGTTTATGTAGGATATGTTTCCAGTAAAAATGATGGTCTTAAAGCTAGGCCACCTATTTTTGATTAAAGTAAGAAACACGTAAAATGTTGTTCAGAGTTCACACTGAACTCTTACCAGAGCCCAGAGAGATCTATGTAACTGAATTAATTTTCATTTTATCCAGGCTTGTCTCTTACTGATTTTAGCTGAGATTCATAGCAAAATTAGACATTTTGAAATGCTATAACAATATAATACAGGTAATTTGCAGCAGTTATGGACTATTAAAAGTGGAGAAACCAGAGGACCAGTTCTCACGAGATAGCCGGTGCAGATGTTTTTTTTCAATCTGTTCCTAATGACAGGGTTCACAACCATTTGTGTCCTTATCCAGACCAGACCAGTAATGATTTGCTGATCACTACCATAGGGTGATGTCACCAATCACCAGTTCTAGTTACAGTATAATAACATGTATTGGCAAAAATAAGTATGAAAAAGAACTAATTTTCTATTATACTATATTTGACTGTAGTTTTTACTGCAAAAATTCAACAAGGCAAAAGCAGTGTATGAGTAACAACAGGATCACACTCAATTTCTGAAGCTGGTCCAGAGCAGTGCCAGCATTGCAGGGATCTAACATGGAACTGCACGTTGCTGGATAACACTCAAACACTTCCAGCCATCATCAACCCAGACTGCAAGGCAAGAGGCACAGGCGCCAGCTCTACTCATAGCTACATGGCAGAGCTGTGGGGTTTTTTTTTTCTGGAAGGAGAGGTTTTTCAAGATGGGTATGAAATAATTTCTTTTGTATCAAAATCAAAATGATCTCACAGCAGACTGTCCACTAGAAACTGAAGTCAGAGTACTGCTGGGTACAGATGAGTTAGCTCTAACAGGATAGTTTAAGCTCATCCTGACCCTTTACTCCTTTTCCTTTCTTCCTTTACTCATTTTTCTCCTAACAGAGAGAAACACATCATTTGTTATAATTACATTAGACCCTCAGAAATGACTCATCATATTATGGGCACCAGTAGAATTAACTATCATGAACAGAGGCGTTTTTTTAACCCAAAATATATTGTTATACCTGAGTTATAAACCTTTGAAATGAAACTGTTGTCTTAAAAAGCTTGTAGTCTAGTAGTAGCACTGGTTTCTGTCTCTATAACAAGAACCAGAGCTAGAAATAAAAACACTTGTTATTTTAAGTGATGTCAAGCTTCTGTACTACCAATCTGAAAAGCAAGCAAGACATTATTAGACATTGTCTTAAAGTTTGTCAGTTGAAAAACTGAAACACAATGAATTCAAAGGTTCCTGATTGGGAAAAAAGAAGTGTGTAAAATTAAAACCAAATGTACCATGTACAGTGACAGTATCTGAAAGAGTTTAAATGCCTGTGTGTGTACATATATACATATATGAGCATATATTGTCTTTGCATAGATACTCACACATACAGAAGATACTAGAGTACTTCAAATTTCCTTCCTTTTTCATCTATAAAACTAATTGCAAATTATTTCTTTTTGTTCTTCTCACAGCTGAATTTTTATTCCTCTTGTGGGGTGTTTATCTCTGCTATGCAGTGCGGACAGTCCCATCAGCATTTCATGAGCCACGTTATATGGCTGTTGCAGTTCACAATGAGCTCATTATCTCTGCTATATTCCATACAATTAGGCAAGTGATCTGTAGATCTAGTAATTAACTATTTATCTTTCAGGTTTCACGTGGTGCAACTTAAAATGGGTGAATGGGATAGGATGCATAATGGAAGGTCTCATAAATATTTAATTCTGCAAATTAAGTGATTACTAAACTTAAAACTGTTCCCATAGGATTCAAGAATATGTACAATCAACTTGTTAATTGTATAATTAGGGTTTTTTTCAGTAGAGCTAGCTGATATGTTCTTGGATCAAAGTTAAGTATATATGATAAATTAGATATAGCAAAACTACTGTCTGTCTGCAGTCATCTGCACACTGCCCACTGGTTTGTATCCCTAGAAAAACAGCAGGTAAGAATGTGGGTTTATATGAACTTTTCCTGATGTGTAACAGATTGGCAAGCTGCAGCTGTATGTTAAGATAATTGTACTGGTTTGTGCATGAAGCACAGTGTTTTATATGCTGACATAAAAAATTGTTATGCATGTGGTGCTGTAACAGTAACATATAGCACATGTTTCTTATAAAGTTTATAATGAACTCTACATTTCATACTTGTAAATTATTAGACTAGTAAGAAATAAATAAGGGTCTTTGCCAGAGCTACATGAAAATTACTATATATGCCTTTCCTACAGAGTACCCTGTAAAAATGAATTGGTCTTAGAAAATTCAAAATAGCAAGATAGCATGAATTTCATCTCATGCTGTAAGAGATTCTTATGACTTTCTTATGACATTCTCACACCTTCCTTTGCCTCCTGACAGACCTTATCTACTAAGATTTTTTTTTTTAACATCACTCCATTGACAGTCTTCAAATACTCTTCTCTGTTCCTTGGTCTGGCTTGGAACTCACATTTCTCTCTGCCTTCTTGATGTTTGCTTCCATGAGGCATCATTTTTTCTGAGTAAACATCAGCAAAGCAAATCTTTCATCTCTACTCCTTCCAGGTGCTCTTTTCCCCTATCATTGTTAAAAAGTTCACTGCACTTTTCAGGCTTGCAACTTTTTTTTTCCTTCCCCTTCTCCTAACCCCGTATCTCAACATCCACATGCTCTCAAAATCTTCTTCTTTACTCCCTAACAGAAACATCTGCAAAAATTATGTTTAAAACCTGTGTTTGATGGAAGCATTTTTCTTTTCATTCCTGACAGATATAAAATTCAGTTACAATACTTTTGAATTGATTATAACTAATATGACAGTTTCTCAGTCAAAATTTTCCCCTATTAGTTAATGTTCCTAAACCTTATTTTAGGCCGTGTTAGAAGATACAGTTCAGTGCATTAGGAGAGCTATTATGTGGGCTGCAAGTTTCTTTTAACAATAGGACAGGATGAAAGTAATCTTGGATTAGAGAGAGGGGGAAAAGGGGGAAATGTGGCATTTTAATACATGCCTTATGAAGGAGACACAAAAGGATTAGGTCTTTCAGTTTACCCTATTGAGGATCCTGTTCCTTCAGCCTAAGGTCTGCTGATTTTGTTCTTCCTTCTTTTTTTTTAAAAATGTGCATTTTGACGTGCATATTGATTCTTTGCCCTCTGTCTGATACATGCTGGTTTGTTGAAGAAATATCGTGTACTGTTTATGAATAGGAATGAATAAAATGCACTGGAAGTACATGATCCCTCCTGAGATTATGTCCATTTCTGTATACATAAGTCTTAATCCAGTCTCTTTGAAGTTCACATTTCCTTACATTTTTTTTTGCTTCTGTCTTCCCTGCCAAGTTCTGGATGTAACTGAAAGAGCGGAAATGTAAGACTCAGAGTTATATGACATATCTGAGTTGTCATAAAGTTGAAAGCACTGGAGCCTTGAAGGACACCTACTATTAGAAAGCAGCCATCCAGCCTGAAAACTCCCAAAGCTCATATAAGATTGATATGAGCACTAAATAAAACTTCGAATCATTTGCATTTTTTTTTCCTTTAAAAATATTATTCCCATTTCAGAAACAGAGGATTCTTGATTATCTTCAGATCAGCATTGTACTAAATTCCTGCATTGCTCTTTCTCTTGTATTACTGAGAAAACCAAAATTTGTATAGAAAAAATCTCATTCGAATAGAAACCCTATCCCTGAATGGCTACTACAAATGCTATTTTGTTTTGAGGGGTATGGCATGGATACCTTAGTCAAGGTTTCACACACAAAACAAGCAAAAAGCCTTCACAGAATTTGAGGAGTGGAGCTGTTAAGGGTTAGCCAAATCCGGTGGGCATCAGGACCTGGGAGCTTTCCCCTAGCTCTGTCTGATGGATGTGGCTGCTGCTGTTTCTATTTGCAGGCCTAGCAAGGCTGAGCATATCCACTACAGTGCAGTCACATGCAACACATGGCTGGCCACGTGGACCAGCGCAGGTCCAACACGTACAGCCTGGTCCTGTTCCTCCTCTGCAGCTAATCATAGAATCGTAGAGTCATTTAGGTTGCAAAAGACCTTTAAGATCATCAAGTCCAACCATAAACCTAGCACTGCCAAGTCCACCACTAAACCATGTCCCTAAGCACCACATCTGCATGTCTTTCGGATACCTACAGGGATGGTGACTCCATCACTTGCATGGGCAGCCTGTCCGTGTTCACTAATGAAACATGCACCCTGTGTAGGTTCACAAGCACACTACGTTCACAATTCCTTCAGATGCGTGCAAAGTCTTTAAGCCAATCCAATATCCATCTTTGGGTTTAGGGCCCTGTACCCAGTCATGGGCTGAGACCTTGGGTCTTCCCAGATGCGGGTCTCCCACGTGCTGGCTACCCCAGCCTGAAGTTTGCTCATGAATTGCACAAACACATGTGCACAGCATAGAGAGTGAGATCACACAGGCATTAGGAGAATGATTTAATGAGAAGACAGGAGATACTGCAGTGATCAGGTACAGGGCTCAGTCAGTGACAACTTGCTTAAATGTCACTAGCCCCTTTTATACCCCCTTCTTTCCATGCTTGTTCTTCCGCCATCTGCCTTAGCCCATCTCTGTTCTTGTCTTGTCCCAAATAAACAACACACCCCTTATTGTTTTTTTTTTTCCTATTGGTCGCAGTTTTGCTACAGCTGTACTCAAATTTTGTATTTCTGATGTCATTAGCTAGGTAATCACAGCCTTATATACTGTTACTGATATGGTTTCATCAGTACCACTGACCTTGCAAGTTCTACTCCCCCAAAGGCCCCCAGTGCTCCCTTCAGTTACCTGTGAAGTTTGGCCATCTTTCAAATGACTCCCTGTTAACCACCTGTGAAATCTTGCCATCCCTTAGAGCACTGTCTGTAACTTTTGTTCACTTTTCACTCTGTTATTCTTTATATCCAGCAATTTCTCATGTCATCTTCAATAGTTCTCATGTTGTGTTCAGTTAGCTAAACCTCAGGCCTGAGCCTCCTCATATCCCTGCACGCCTCAACAGCAACATCTCTGTAAGAAATAATTATAATATTTTATTGTGTTCATGAAACATTTCATTTACAAAGTATTAAACAAGAAATGATGACTGTAGTATTATGGCATATAAGCCAGTGTTTCATGCCAGACTATTTCTGTTAACAAAAGCTTCTGCAAAATGTGCATCTGTGGACTTGGATAAGTTGCAAATGCCATTTCTATCTGAATGATTTTTGTAAACCTGCAAATTACAAGCCAGTGGTACATCCATTCATCCATTGCACTGCTTACCATTTCTATCTTTGGGAGCTCACTAAAGCAGATAAGCCAAGCATGCTCCAGCTAGCTTTAACTGCAGCGCTTGTTCTACCACTCTTTTAGAAAGCTCAGCAAGGAATTGCTTCATTTGGGAGGTTCACCACTCATTTCCTAGCATTTGCAAAGCTCTTGGGCTTTGTGGTACGGAGCTGGGCGGTCCTGCAATCAAGACCATTTCTCTGCTCCCTGCTAAAATGCATTTCAGTTCAGTTCTCTCTTTGATGGCTTATCAGCCGCACTCTGTAGCTGCGATCTGTGGGCATCCTGTATTTATGAAGTGCACTGCAATTTATCATAGTACATGTGCTTACTTAACCTAAAATCATCCGTTCAGGTCCTTAATGTATGTAAACTGCCATAACTCAGTTCAGGCCAAAGAAGCTGTGACAGTATAAACCATCCAAAAAACCAGCTAGAGTGAGAATGATGGAATAAGCAATATCCTTTAAGGTCTGCTGTTTCCTTTTATATTTTGTTTTGGCTTGTTGCTTGGAGTTTTTTTCTGAGTTGTTTTAGAATTGTAGTATGTAAGTAAAGCATGTGGATGTAATTTTTAGTCTGTATGAAAGCAGTACAGAACAAAACCAGTTGTGTTTGGCCTTTCAATGCAAAGAAACCTAAGGAACGTTAAAAATGTTAAATCTAACGCACTGGAGAAAAGGCAGTGAATTACAATCCTGAATTCTATTTTCAGATTCATTCTTGCTTCAAGACTTCAGTCTGACTGGATGCTGATGCTGTTCTTTGCACACACACACCTGACTGTGACAGTCACTGTTGGGCTACTTCTGATCCCTAAGGTATTCGAGTCTCCTGTCTCCTTTCTTTGGCTGAGACCAAGGAATATAAATGTTGTCATGCAGAAGCAATGCTGTATAAAATTTAGCAAGCAACGGATAGAAAAGGAAGATGTAAAAATTTGGCTATGTTACCGAAAAAGCTGTATAATTTTTTTATTTTAAAAACTCTTATACATTTTGAAAGATTCTTTCTTTCAGCATTCAAAATTCCAGAGGTTAAAAGTACTTAAGATTTTGATGTGATTAATACAAGAAGGAAAGAATCTTGCCTAACGATGCTTATTTCAGGTATTCGGTGACCATGCTGCTGCCAGAGTTAGCTGAGATCAGACAAGGAGTTTAGGCGAGGGCATAGAAAGACTAGGACAGACTGCTGAATAAAACTAGAATGAGGAGCTCGGACTAGCCATGAGATGGAGAGCTTGGGACTTAAAGCAGGCAGTTGTTACAGGCTGAAAAAGGAGGGCCCTTTGCAAGTCAGAGCCTGGGACGGACAGATGCTGCATACGGAGGGGAGATGTGGCCTATGGTATGGAGCAAGTGCTGGGTAGGAAGACGAGTGTGTGTGGGACACAAGAAGATAAGATGGAGGATGACAGGAGGCAGGGAAGAGAAAGGAAAGTGCTCTGAGCACTGTGGCACGCCTCCCGTCAGGCGCTGGGAGCAAAGCGACAGTATGTCAGCCTCACCAGGGGCAGGAGAACCACAGGCAGCTCCACCTGTCTCTAGCACCACTCCATAGCATTTGAATGCAGCTTTCTTCTTAGTACCCCAGCACAGTGAAGGATCCTATAATGGCTTTTGAAATGACCAATAATATTAATCAAAAGGTCAAGAGTCAAAGGAACAGTAAATGTGAAAGCTACATATGAAGGAAGAACGTTAAGCAGTTCAAGTTGTTGCAATTAGCAGTTTAATGAAGCTGCTACTCCTGTCTTTTGCCTGTGTGTCAGAACAGGGTATGCTGATAACTGTCAAGTACAGGTACATTAAACAATCATAACACGGGGACACATTAATGCAGACTTAATACTGATTAACCTTGTTTTATTTTAAATTACTTTTCTGGTCTTTAGCAATAGTCTTATTATTTTCTATTTTCTATTCATATACTTTATTACATATCGTCAGAGATGTCTTTCTAGGGTAACCTAGAACTTTTGTTGACCTTTCTGAAGCTGACTCATAACTACTGATCAACATTTCCATTTTTAGCTTATTATCTATGTAACACTGCACAGACTTTTCTTCCAGCACACCAAAGAATTCAGGGAATTAAGAGAAGATTCACAAGGTTTAGTTCCATTCATAAAGTCCTGAGGCCAGATGACTGTGTGGACAGTACTACCTACAGATGAGTGAATCAATATGAATAAAAAAATAGCTGACAACCTCTCTCCAACTCTTGATCCGAGCATTTCCTAAAACTTAGAAGAGAGAAATTAACTTGTCTACTTTTTTATTTGTTTCCTTCCTCTTTTTTCCTTTTTTTTTGCCACCCCATCTTTTCCTTTTCAGGGTCAGGAACTAAAATGGGAGAATTACTTTCTGCAGGATTATTAAACTGTATGGCATATAAAATACAGTCTTATGGTTTTAGCAGCCTAATTAGAAATACTGGCTGAAAGTCTGTTTCTATACTAGCTTAATTTAAATGCAATTTGAAGAGATTCAAATAAGCATCAAAATAAGTGTTTTTTTTTTCCTTATGCAAATCTCTTAAAATTTATCAAGTTAAGCCATCGTTAATAAGAGTTCCTTCCATACAATAGTGATACTCTGTAGGACACTACTTATGCCAATGATGCCTATAGCTGGTGTTTTGAGTTCAGATAATCACATGAAATCCACAGAAGGATCGTTGTGTCATAAAAACTGTTGATGTAAACTCTTACAGTGATGTTGAAGTAAGCTTTTGCACTGATGGCAACATCTTTTTTGTAAATACTTATTGCAGTTTTCACACTCAAGCAATAACCCAAGAGATGATATAGCTACAGAAGCTTATGAAGATGAGCTTGATATGGGTCGATCTGGATCCTATCTGAACAGCAGTATCAATTCAGCATGGAGTGAACATAGTTTGGATCCTGAAGATATTCGGGTATATATAACTCAGTTAAATAGCATCTATTTTCAAGAACAACACTTTTTTCCTATGAGTAAACTGAATTGCATCCATTTGACTTTTTTTGCAGATATCAGCTGAAACAGGCCAGCTTAGGTCTCTCAGTGATTGTGGTATCAGGTCATGTAAAATGTCATGGAAAATATTCACTGGTGTGAAGAGAAGCCGCATTACTAGTTGTAGTAAAAGTCATACTGGAGGCTAAAGAGGAGGAATCATCCACAGCAAGAGCTGTTTATCAGTTAACATAGGCTCTTCAAATTATCTTGAAGTGCAAACAGCATTTGGTGTCAGTGTGATTAGTCATTTGCATGTAACATACACATGACTATACGTAACTATTTAACATAAAACTTTAAAAAACATGATTAACAGACAAAAATACTTTATTCCTATCTTACATGATAAAAGGGCTTATGTTCCCAGAATAAAGAATAGCCACAGAGTTCAGTAGGAAAGCATGCACCACAGCATTGCGCAATCTGAAACATATAGCATGAATGTATATGAATTGTGCATGCTGTGTGATGCACAGCTGTGGAAGGTAACTGGTTTGTGCACGAGGGTTGAACTTATTTTTACTGGGGGAAAAAATGGGACTCAAGTTGATGGAGAAATGGCATATTCAAGAATTAGAAAAAACAGTGAAATAAGTTCAATGCCTTTTTTAGAGCAAAGGGTAATGCATTCATTAGGCTGCTTGTTTGACTGGACTTGCTCTGTACATACTAGTTTTGCCATTCACTTTGCTTTGCAGGATGAGTTGAAGAAACTATATGCCCAGCTTGAAATCTATAAAAGGAAAAAGATGATTGCTAATAACCCACATCTCCAGAAAAAGAGGTGCTCTAAAAAGGGCTTGGGGCGCTCAATAATGCGACGTATTACAGAAATCCCTGAGACGGTCACGAGGCAATGCTCCAGGGACGAGAAGGACCTGATGGAGCACAGTGCTGTGAAGAACACGGCCACACTAAGAAAAAACCCACAGGATTCCACGAGTTCTGCAAAGCCAAAAGAAGAGACTTTGAAAAACAGGGTCTTTTCATTAAAAAAGTCCCACAGCACTTATGATCATGTTAGGGATCAAACAGAAGAACCGAATAGCTTAACTACAGAAAGCACAGAAGTTATAGCCGCTGAGAATTCGCTTTTGGATTCCTTGAATGGTAACAAATTAACCAAAAATGCTCCGGAAAAAGTTGAAGCTGTCTCCACTGAATCAGTCCCTTTGGTGTGCAAATCAGTAAGTGCACATAACTTAAGTGCCGATAAGAAGCCTCTGCATCCAAGAACATCTGTGTTACAAAAATCCCTCAGTGTTATTGCTAGTGCCAAGGAAAAGACTCTGGGACTAACGGGTAAAACACAAAGTCTAGAAGAAAGCACTAAATCTCACAAATCTCAGCAGAAGGGTAAGGAAGCCACCAAAAAGCACTCAGCCTCTGATAAAGGGGAGCATAAGGATTCCCACCGGAAGAACTCTACCCACTCTGAGGAAACAAAGAAAACCCAAAAATCTGGAATTATGAAACAACAAAGGGTTAGTCAAACACCTGCAAATCCAGACACAGGCCCAGGTAAGTCTCTGCACAAGGACAATTTCGACATAGGAGAAGTTTGTCCTTGGGAGTTATATGACCAAACTCCTGGTCCTGTGCCTTCTGACTCTAAGGTTCAAAAACATGTGTCTATTGCTTCCTCAGAGCCAGAGAAAAACCACCCTTCCCAGCCAAAGGGGAAGTCTCATCATAAGCTGAAGACACCTGAAGGGTATCAACAGTCAAATCAAAAGAGCTCAGAGAAGGTGGAGGCAGCCACTCGGGAGACACAAGAGCAGCAGGTCTCTGAAAATGAGAAAAAACAGTTGAATTCCAAGTCTCAGGTTTCCCCTGGGCTGAAGTGTGAGAATGTTAATAGATATGCACCTACTACCTGTGCTGGAGAGCAAGAGGAGCTACCCCAGAAAGCAGCAGAAAAGGAAAACCTCAATAAATTGGCAGAACAGAAAAAAAATGCCTCTTCCGAGGGAAATGTGCTTTCATCTGACTCCCATAAGCCAAGTAGTTACTTACAGCAACCTTTAGCATCTCGAGCTGAAGTCTGCCCTTGGGAGTACGATACACCAGATTTACCAAATGCAGAAAGAAGTGTAGCTTTATCGAACACCTCTGCTGTAAGTGCAAATAAAACAGCAACACCTCGAAAATAAGAGGCTTGCGGACTGAGGAGAGTAGCAACATTGAGAAGAAAGACAACAGGAAAAACAGAGGGGACTTAGGCCAAAAGGATCTGAAAATTCCTAAGGAGCATCACTTAAATCAAGGGAATCAGCACTACAAATAAGTAGGAGTTAAGCAAAGTAAATTATCATTAATGTTGTTATTATTTATTTGTTGAGTGCCAACAATGTGATTAGCAGTGCCCAGAATACGGTCCCTGCTGCAAGGATTTTACTGTGTCAATGAAAGAAACCTGCCTTTGTGAAATCACTTGTCTTTTAAATGAAAAAAATATGGTGGTAACAAATGCACAGTGTAGATCTTAACCGAATTATTTCTGAATGCCACAGCTGGCTTTAACTTGCCCTTGGGACTTTAAAGATCCAGAAGTGGGGCACACAAAATGTCCTGATGGCAGAAAGGGGTATCAATGAGCAGCTTATTAAAATGACGACTTTTCACTTTACGTATTTAATCTAGATAGCACTGCTAACTCAATGCATCCCAAAAATACATTTTATATAATGATTGCTCTCATTTTCTTATTACTGTGTGTTTAAGTACATTGTTGTGTCTCATATTAAAGCATTCCAGATTGTATAATTTTTCCAAATAACTTTGATATTATGTGACACAACACATTTATGCAATCTGCAGATACTTTCTTCTAATTGCAAGTTAAAATACCTGCTGTAGACTTTTTTGTTTATATAGAGAATTGCAGTAATCTCTCACTGGCTATGGAAGCCGTAATTCATATTGGGAAATTCCTTTGGGCTTTGGAGATTTTTTTTTCCTTTCCTGTGTTTTATATAGTGAATTCTTTGGTTTACTCTCTGTTATTTAAATTTATAGTTTGATACTGTATTATTCAGGGGTTTTATACGCGATAAGTTACTTGTTATGCACTTCCCTATTAATGCTCACAGACTTTGTTATAGTGGAAATTCAGTCGTCTTAGCTGCATATTCTGGTAAGTCTTAGGACAACTTATCTGTTGTTTGTTACTAATTGGAAAATACTGTCTAACAAACCAGAATTCTTACTTTAAAAATCCATGGTGATGATCTTGTTCAGTGTTTCATACTGAGAATATACTGCTAAATAAGTCAAGCAAGAATGACAAAGAATATACCCCAGAAATGATCACCTGTTTTACTAAAACCAGACAACTCTGGGAAATATATTAGCTCAGTCATATAGAACAACAGTGTTTATCCCTGTTGGCAAACCTCCAAAAATTGGCCTTTGGAGTGAGGAGAGAAGTCCAAAATATTACTCTTCCCCATATATGCAATTGTAAGGGATAGTGGGAATGGAAACGATGGCACGTCTCTCCCACTGTCCAAAATGCTTTGATTTTTTTTTTAATTTGTTTAGACATCCATTCACAGTAAAAGTTAGTGTTTAATACAATGCTAACTTTCAGTAATAGCTACAGTCCTCATCATGTCTATGAGCTTAATTCATAGATGTCCCATTCACAACTATGAGTCTTAGTGATGGTATACCATCAGGGCCTGAAGACATATTGTAAAGATTCTGAGGAGTATCACTAATAATAAAGAACCCTCACTCATCTAAATGCAGTACCAGTAAAGTGCTATTCACTAGAATTGGCTATACATACAGTACTCCAAAACAGACAGCTCAGTCCTAAAGAACTTGTGCAATTTGAGAGAAGTGATGGGATTCAGTGGAAGAACATGAGATGAGGATGATTGAATGGAATGTGTTGTTTAATATATAT